GCCCCCCCCCCCCCCCCCCCCCACACGCACACACACAAAGCACAGGAACACGCGTCTGATGTGCTCCTAGCCGAAAATGGCGACCACAGGGAAGCGAAACGTGACGGGAGTCAGGAGACGTTGTTTGTTTCTATTCGGCCGAACTGGAATCCCTCGTTTCGTGGAAATTCGGTGTTCCGGCTAATTTGGAATATAGAAAGTGATCATTTCCGCCAATAAGGGATGGAACATTGATAGGGATCATTTCTTCCAAACACTATCTATCCTAAACACTATCGCGGATGGTGGCAACTGCGATAGAAGAATAGACGACAAATAAATCCTTTACAAAGATGAACAAACTTTAAAGTCGATTTTCTCGAAAACAGAGCCCGGGTTAAAAAGATGTTATAATAAATTTGTTTCTTATTTTTTCACGTAGAATCACTACCTTCTTGGTTGTACTACGAATTCCAGCCCACCCCCTGTATGTAATAAGGCATTAGTATTATATTATCACGAACAATTGATAAATTATTATGAACCACTATATTTCTGATTAGACTTTCCAGTATGAAATGTTTCATGCAACATTGTTATGTTCTCCTTGAAAACTTATTGTTTACCTTAGACGGGCTGGAGTCCCAAACTGGAGAATAATGGTGTGCGATCTGTAGCAAGGGAAGAAAGTTATATGGGATGAGCAACAAGAACCGGGAACTTTTTGAAAGCTGAAATTACCTTCGGTATACTTTTGTTCTTCTTGGAAGTTCGTGGTAGAGTGAGAGATGGAGTTTTCAACTGAAGAATGATGATATCTGTTTCGTCGAAGTTTTGTAAGAGAAACAAATTATATGGGATGAACGACTTCTCGCATTCAGGGTTTGAAACATCTTGACAATAATACGATACAATCTAGTACAATGATATAATAAGTGCTTATTATTTATCAATAGACCGAAGAGTTCAGCGAACATCTTTTAACATTAGGTTCGCGGCAGAGTTGAGCAAAAAGTTATTCTACGACTAACGATTAAATTACTACCGTTAATAGTTAATTGCAATTAACGATTAGATTCGGTTTAATCGTTAATCGCAATTAACAATTGAGATATTACTGTAAAGTGATTAGTCGATGACTATTGATTGCCTTTGATCAACGACTGACGGTTATATTCATCAATCGATTAATTCAATCGACGATATTTCATTTCCATCAATCATTTAATCAAATTAAAAATTTTAGTCGATTGATGCCCGACACTGGTGTACGGATTACAAGAAGCAGCTGCTTTACATTTCATCATAAAAATAACAGCCATATATTTCTGCAGATCATTATGAAACAAAATTGAAGAAATTCTCCATAAATGTATCTTTGCAATTTCAATAATGACGAATTAAAATATTTAAAATGTTTCAGAATGACGCGTTCCACCTCTTTGCTGAATTTTTGCTGCGTTAGAAAGCTAAATTACAAAATACTTGAATTTCACTTACAGGGTCTGCAACGTCCGAAACCTAAATTACACCATACAAGGGCTCCTAATTGAAGGGTTACGCAAACTGAGTTCAAGAGGGCGGTTGCATTCACGCTCAGGATAATTACTCGATCACGGTACGGCAACCACTGTTTATCCAAATAATTAAAGGGGCGTCGCGAGGCGAGAATTGCAGACCAGTTAACGATCAGAATTGTCGTCCGTGGAAACGTTCGCACCCTTATTCGCTGATATTTAGGTTTCGACGCGTTTCTCGTTTCCGCTTTGTTATCCGCGGAAAGATCTGTTCAGGCAACATGAATCAACATAGGTTCCTGAAAAGCCACGACGAAATTTAACTTCATCTTTTTGGGCCTTCAACCCTTTCAACACTTAATTCATTAAACTGTCATTAACGAAATTGACAAACGTAATAATTTACACGTTTGGGTATAATTTGAATAATGAGAATAATAATTTTTTATCCTCATGCGTTCTTTAAAAACATGCGCAGAAGTGATTCTCAATTATTATTTATCCCCTTTCGTTTTACAATCAGTTTTACATACAATTGAACAGTTGTATTATTGTAATTGTTGTATTATTCGTAATATCATATTTTAAACACGCGAGTCAAATTATAATACAATTTTATAAAGTGGATTTCCGTTTCTGTCAAGGTTTTATGGAACAGATATTATTTTAGGATTTCATATAATTTTTCTTGGTTTACATTTGTTATATTTAACTACAATCTTTACAGCAATGTTTACCTGAGATGTAAATTTATTATACAGTTATTTTGTTCGACGTCAAATAAAAGCAATCATAATTAATTTTTATGTTTGGTTATCAAGTGCATTCTTTGCTGCATCTCGTTTATTATATTTAAACAAATGTTCCATAATTTATCGTACAGTTATTTAAAAAATATTCGTTAAAAAATAGCCATTGATTTCCTAGATTTAAAATTTAAACACAACACTACATCGTGCGTATTGGAGCGAATATATCCGGATAGACAATTAGTCGCTAATGATTTTCTCGATTTTAACGTAAAGTGCGTAATACAATGGAAACAATCTATTATTTCAAATATTTACCCAATCTCGTTAACACGTATTAAGCAGTAATAATTCTGTGAATTTATGCCAGGTCCACAAATAAATCTCGCATTGCTTCGTCCAACTAATTGGTGATATACAGTCAATTTTTAACGGTTCTCTCGTTTTATCGGTTTCAGCAAATGGCGGATAACAAGTTGATTTGTGAAAATTAATTTGCTTAATTGATTACACGGGGCAAACGGAAGGGCAATGTCATTGGCAGCGTAAAGTCCAACGCGGATTCGATGGTCACGGTGATCGAGAAGCTTTCGACCGCGATTCCATCGGATCAGTTATCGGATATTGTTTTTCCAATGGCAATAATCGTGAATTTGTTATCGAGAGCAAATTTGATACAGCCGAGATATGAGAAAATTGATCCGCGACCGGGATAATGGCGTTCGATAACGATCGCATGACGATTTCCGTTTCCACGCAGATGCTGGAGATCGGCTCGGATCGATAACG